TTCTTGAGTATGACTTAGCTAATTTTGTAATAATAGTAATAATGGTATACAATACAAATGGAAATTTTATTACTCCAATAAATTTTACTTTTACTTTTAGGAATTCATAATGGCTTCAAGAAATTTATAGTTGAAATACACAAAGTAAATGACTTGGTAACATGTTGATTTATAGGAGTCTCATTCAGAAAATTATACATTTTCACATCCATCTGCAGCAACGAAAGTCTAATAGATTAAAAGGGTGGTCAGAAAAATAATTACTTAAATGAGTATGATGAACTTTTGCATCGATCTGATAGGTGTTGTTGGTGTGCTTATAATTATTCTTATTATTAACATTTTTATGTTTTGGTTTAATTAGTTTCGCCTTGTAAAATAATAAGTCTCTAAACCAATCTGCCAAAATCACAACCACAACTTCAGCTCCATCACACCAGAACAAAGCTTATAACCAGTTAACTATAGTCAAAAACCCAAAAATCAAAACTTTATGTAAAAGAAAGCAAATATAAAAATTTGTCACAGAAAAAGATGAATCTTTCAAACCAAATAATAAAAATATCTATATTTTAGACCAAAGACAATCATCACAAGGCAATACTGTTCTAATCTTCCCGAGTGGTGTTAATCTTATCTATAAAAAAGTTTTTTGATATGGGAATTGAAATTTGGAAGAATTAAAATCTATAGAAATCACAGTTTTTCATGCGTTTAGTTGAAGAAAAAAGAAATTCAATAATAAAAATCAAATAATTTTTGAATTCAAAAATTTTACTTAAAAATTCTTAGTTTATTGTAAGTAAATATAATTGAACTTTATTGTTTATTTATTTGTTTCAGACCAATAGGCAACCAAAACGCGCAGTTGAATGGAATAAGTTCCAAATTCATAATTTGAGAAAATTATTGACAATAAAGACCATAAAGTAGCTATGGTTCATACCTTAACATCATAAGTGTTACCGGGACAAAATGTAACATATGTTTTGAACTTAAAATCATCTTTATCAACTTCATTCACATCATAATGAAAGGAAGTAGAAAGCTCCTTCAATTTACCATCCATGCCATATATACCATCAGTCTCGCACTAATACATCAATAACCCTCAATGCACAGCACACTCCGAACCTTCAAAAGCCCAATCTTTGGGAGAGATCTGTATATTGCACAATGTAGTCTCATAGTTTCTGGATAAGTAAATAAGAAAGGTCTGACTTTTTGTGGGTTAAAACGAAGTATGGAAATAAACCTTCAAAAGCTCATGCCCACTTTTATAAGTTACTTCTGTAACCTGCAAGGCCAAAATTGGAAAAGATTATAGTAACATTCAACTTAGCTCCCTGTAAGAACAATATTACCAGAAACAAATGTTACCAGAAACAAATGTAAAAGAATACATATCAACTTGCTTTCATTGATTTAATATAAAAAGTAAAAGCCCATGCCCACTTTTAAATGACCACATCTTAGCTCCCTGTAAGAACAATATTACCAGAAACAAATGTAAAAGAATACATATCTAACTTGCTTTCATTGATTTAATATAAAAAGTAAAAGAAAAGTCCATATCTATGCACAAAAGGGAAGAAGAAACAATAGTATTAGTAAAAAAAAGTTCATATCCATCTGTTATTCTACGCCTCCATGGATCCAACCCTTTTGAAAATCTTATTCCGGTAATCATTCCTACCAATCACAAATGTAATAAAAAGTGAAAATTTTAGTGTTGGATTCAAGGCATTTTAACAAACAGTTGGTAGGCATACGGAAAAACAACTCCAATTTCAATTATATTGGAGATAGAAAGATGGATAGAGACCACTGATCACCATTTCTTATAGGAGAAGTGTCATGTATACATTATCCTTCTTTCAGGAATTTGAAAATTGATTTACCTTAAACGCCAATAATAGAACGAACACATAGATCTTCATAGCCAAAAGAAAACCAACCAGATGAAGAAGAAAAACTGAAGGCTGAGGTTTGAGAGGTTAGGTATTCTGTTTTTCATTAGTGTTTTTCATTACACGGTTATGGTGAAGGTGATGTGAAGATTATTTATGGAATAAAACCGTGGCGAGGAGAAATAGGGATTTCAATTTTGAATTTCACGATGATTTAGCATCAGGACCTACTATTGGAGCATCAAATATTTTAGTTCCAAAGCTTAATCACAAAAAGCGAACAAAACCTTGGATCAATTTTGAATTTCACGATGATTTAGCATCAGGACCTACTATTGGAGCATCAAATATTGTAGTTCCAAAGCTTAATCGCAAAAAACGAACAAAACCTTGGATCAATTTTATCAGATGAATCATCTAAACCAGGGAGCTAAACCAACACCCAAAAAAAGTTCAGATCGAATTATTGCAAAAATCTTCTTAATCCAATAGTAAAAAATCAACAAAAACTCTAAAAAACTATGGGCTTTTTCTTTCTTTCGGGAATAAGGGTTTAGAACTTCCAAATAAATTTCCAAATCTTAAAATAGATCGAGTAGTTTGGAATTAGTTTAAAGAAGGAAGAGGATGAGAATCAAAATAAGCAAACGATCGAGTACAGAGCAGGTTTCATTTGTAATTGGCGTATTGATGGCTCGAATCTCCATATAAAACTGAATCATCTGATGAAGCTTCTACTCGTTTCTTCACCAAAAAAGACAATCCTTGCTTTCCGCTTGATCGATTGGATAAAAAGAAGACAAGAATTGATATAAGGAAGCGAAATAGAAGAAAAAAGTTGAAAACGACAACATCACAAACGCAAAAAATAAGTAAAATTGGAGAAATTCAAACTTAATGCTCTCCCTTCGGTTTGAACCAGGTAGTTTTCAAAGGATCTTCGTCTGATAGAGTATTGAGAAGAGACAGAGGGAGAGGGAGAGGTGATATGATTCCAGGAGGATTCATTCAAAATCGCCCTAATGGCACCATCTTGTTCACTCTTGTTTTTGTTCTTCCTCGGGCTAGGGTTTTAGAGAAAGAAATAAAAGATGAGGATTGAAATGGCTTGTGTATGCAATTTAAAGGGAAATCCATACATTTATCCCGGATTTTATGCGATTGTGGTTTTTAAAAAGGATTAGATTCTGAAAATGCTATGAGCGGAGTACAGGTGGTTTGATTTGATTTCGAGGGGGAGAGCGAAATTAGAGGGATAGAGTCGTGATCGAGGGATGACCATGAATAGATAGAGTTTAGGGGTTTGAGCAGGAAAACAAAAGTTGGCTTATTAATAGGACGACACGTGTAAAATATAGAGCGTAGAAAACTGTCATGTGGCGGTTGAAAGAGGTTTTTATTAGAGTTATATATATATATATATATATATATATATATATATATATATATAATGTCATCAATGCGGCAGCCGAGCGGGTTGGGGATTGGTATACCCGGCCCATCCCCGATTTTAGCATAATGGGGATCCCCGACCCCATCCCCGGTACCCGTTTTTGCGGAGAATACCCGTCCCCAATTGGGGCGGATCAACCGGGTCGGGTGAAATTTTCATGCATATTTACATGAACTATGTGGATTATAGAGATATAAGGCCGTGTAAATAACTGAACTTGTTTTGTATCCATGATATCCATTCCTTAGACTTAATATTTTTCCACAAAACAACACGAGTGTCTTCAACGATGTTGTAAATGGGGATAATCTAAAGTTTTGAAGTCACTTTTTTGCAAGTTTGAATGAATTTTTTCGAAAACTTTAGATCTAAAGATGACAAAGAGAGCTTGGATGAAGAATATGGACGCGATTTGTGAGTAGTAAATAAGGCCACTAAATCATAAATGATACGTTAAATCATAAATGATACGTTTAAGGTTCTTCACATGAATGGTGAGTAACTTTTTTTTGGACCAATTAGGTCATAAATGCAAACTGTAATTGTCTTTTACGCCTTGTTCCCGTGTTTTTTTGTAAATTCATTGAAGGAAAGGGAAGGAAAATTTTGACGGAAAGAAAGGGAGGTGAAGGAAAATATTCATTATTCCGTGTTCCCGAGTTCGAAGGAAATGAAAAGAAATGAAAGGAAAATTTTAAGTTTTTGTGTTCCCGAGATAGAAGGAAAAAGAAAATAAAACTAAAAATTTTCCTTCCCCTCACTTTCTTTCCAAATCCGTCCAATTTGGGAGAAAAATTTGAAAGGAAAATATGACTCCAAAATCCTTCCCCTCCCCTCACTTTCCTTTCATTAATGAAACTCGGGAACACGATTTTCCTTCGACACCCCTCACTTTCCCTCCGTATCCTCCCATTTCTCTCCTTAAGTGGAACTCGGGAACTAGACGTTAGTTTACATTTTCTATGTATGAAATATGAATAGTTTTTTTTACCAAAAGGAAACGCACACACACACAAAAACCAATTGTATTTTTAGTTCGAGAGATAAAATTATGCATTACCAACATATTAACCATATTTCTATTTAAATCAGTGTTTTCTTTGTATATATAGAAGGTTCACCACTAAAAAGGTAAAATGATAAGAAGTGGTTCTACTGAGAAGTTACTTTTTTAGCAGTTATCATTAAACTAATCATCTATTTTGTAACATGTTTTCTCTTTAGAAAATTTATTTTCACAGATAATTATAATATAATTTCATAAAAAACACGGTTGATAGAAAAAAAAAAATTGCAGTGAAGATCATCCGTAAGAACTTCGACAAAAAAAAAATATATTAATTAATTTAATTTACAAAATTTATATTTTTTATAAAAACATATTTAAACATATTTATTCTATGAGTGAGCCTACTCATTTTGATAATTTTAATGATTAATCTTATAAAGTATCTTACTTGAAACATTTAATAACCTATTTACGATTTAAACATGTAACATAAGATTAGATCATTAGCTCCACTTGACAAAATTGTCAAAATCCCCCGCATGTACAACGGCTATCTGGACCCACATCTTCCACTTTTTTGTCCCCAAAACCCTCAAGTAACCTCAATCATGTCGCTCTTTTTCTTTAAACCCCATTTTGCATTGGATAAACGGTGTAAAGGCCTCCTTTTCCTTGACCTCATCTGCCTCTTTTTTCTACTTCCTTGTATGGGGTTCCATTTAGCCTGAGTAGGGCTTTTATTACTGGGTGGAAATTTTGAAGATGGTGAAGAGAATTTATTGTTTTGAATGGATAATTGCTCTAGGGTTTCTTCTACTTGTTGCCGTTGTTTCCTCCAAGAATCATGGTAAATTTCTCTTGATTTCTTCTCACATTTGCTTTTATTATTGTGGGTTTTTTATACGTTTGTTTCCTAGTAAAAATTTGTAAAAAAAATATGTTTTTTGGGGAACTTAGGTTTAGATTTATTGGTTGTGGTTCGGTCAAAAGAAATGCTTATAATCTGTTTCCAAAAATCGGTTTATGGTTTTCTTTTTCTGTTTAAGATCTAGAAAATTAGATTTGGAGAAGTTTGCAATAAGTTGTTGCATATGGAAGTACTTCCATTCATTTGTTTATCAAAGCTTCTTACTTTCATTTGTTCCTACTACAACATTAAACATTGTACCTTAAAAAATCTACCCAATTATAGTAATTTAATCCAAATTTTTTTAAAAAAAATGTGCAATGATGTAATTGGTTAAAGGATAGTAAAATGCTATCATCTGGTAGATTTTTGAAATTAATATATCCTAATAAAAGAAATTAGAAGTAAAATACTGTAATAAGTTATAAGAGAAATAAAGTAAGATGCTAAGGTAAACAAACAAACTCCTGCAAAACAAACCATCAATCCATCCGACACTCCTTGAAAACCAAATATTCCAATAATAAGTCAACATTTTATAAATTTTAATCAATTTATATAACAATTCTTGATATTACAGGAAATCAAGCAAACGATCTTGTTGACTTGATTAACAAAAACCGAACATCAAAAAGACTTCCCCAACTAAACAACAGCCCGGGTCTCGGCTGCATGGCCATGCAATACATAAAGGAATGTCGATTCAACTGCAGTCAAGTCAACACAGTCAACTGTAAACCTTCCGAAGACGATTTCACAGAAATATTCGCTCCAAATTGTGGGGTCGAGCTTCCGACATTTGGCACCATCTCAGGACTCATCGTGGGGTGTCACCAGAAACATCTAGACCCCCCGGAAGCCTTCCAGAATGTTCTTGTACACGATAATGGAACACTGTCGATTTTAAGAAATAGAACACATAGGGAAGTTGGAGTCGGGATTATCCGTGCAAAAAGACATAAAGGCCCCTACTTATGGTGTGCTTTGTTTGGAAGCAACGAGAGAAATTCGACATTTGTCCTTGAAGATCTTGGCAAAGGGATTGAACAGAAGGAAGGGTGTTATAGTGGGAGCGGGAGTTCTTGTAGCTCGGGAGGGAGAAATGGTAGTTTTGTTTTTCGGATGAATGGTGTTTGGTTGTTGATTTTTTGTATTTTTGTATTAAGTAGTACTGGGTTCTTTTGAAAATGCCAAGTCTTGGAGAATTTTCTCTTCGTGATGTTTGTCAGTTGATGATCAATGAAAAATTCTTTTGATTCATATTGTTTGTTGTTTATTACTTTGCGAATAATCTTGTAACTTATAACTACTGAAAACAGAAAGTTAATGTTTAATGAAGGAGCTAGATCACAAAGTAAAGACATTCGGTTACAACAAGAGGTATCTATCTATAAATATTTACATACTATGTTTTTGTGTGTGTTGACATTTATATTTTATATATAAATACAATTTGCTGCATGATCAAGCTGCGAGTTCTGAGTTTGACACCTGACCCTCAGCAGCTGCAGGTGTGTCACAAACATTGCACCTACATACCGGACACACACTGAAAAAATAATAATAAATTAAGTCAGGTTCTGACTTATATCTGTTAAGTCGTTTTTTCTGTATTAAGTAAAAAAGAAACATAATATATTCATGGTAAAGAGAAATACCCGTTAACTTCTTTAAGCCATTTATCGACACACGGGGCATGATATTCATGACGACACGGAAGAACCCTTATTTCATCTCCTTCCTCATAATCAACCAAGCAAATGTAGCATCTGTCCAACATAGTTTTCATTATCAGTAACAGTAATAGTAATAGAAATAATAGAGTAAAGGACTTACTGTTGAACATAATTTGGGCCGGTTTCCGATGCATCAATCTTTTTGTGACTTTTAAGGAGTAACGAATCTACAACAGACTCAGGTGCAGGTAGAGAGAGCATTGGCATTGAAAGTGATAGCGGTTGTCGGTGGATTTCATCCAATACCTAATAAAAAAAGAAAACAAAAATTTTGGCAACTCAAATTTCAAAATATAATTACTAATAGTAAATAAATTGTTTAAATACCTCAGATAAAGCTTGAGCAAGCAAAACAACGCGTGATATACTTCCAAATGAACCGGTTTCTTCACCCAAGAAAGATGAACTGCCACATGAGCATGTCCCATCACGGTGTAGCCCAGATGCACAAAATCTGGTTCGGTTTTCTCTCTCATCAACACCACCAAACCCTCTTTCTGACATCTACAAAATATATATAATCATAAGTTTGCCATTTTATGATTTGTGGTGTTGGATGAATATTTGGGTTTAGATGAGAGAAACTTGCCTTTTGTTATGGAAATCAGAAATCAATGTACTTTGAAATGTTTAATTACAAATTTGTGTTGATTCCCTTTTGTGGTTGTTGGAAAAAGGTGGAGAGAGAGGTGAGAAGTGGTGTTTGGGTTTTCATGATTTTGACTAGTTACCAAATTTTGACATTTTACCCTAAATTGACTATTCTACTTTTGGAGTAATGAAAAAAAAATTTGAAGAGATTTTGTTCTTCAAGAGCAAACTACATGAATTATGAAGTATTGGACAAGCAAAGCAATCTAAAATGGATGAATCTTGTGCACTAATAGATAAATAAGTAAATCGAAAGTAAAACCTAACCTAAAAAGTAAATGTTGCATTAATCTAGGATAACCTAAAGAGGTAAATGCAGGAGATAGCATTGTAATTCTGCTGAATTGTCTAATATAGCATCCTTCTTCCATTTTTCCTTTTACAGCCATTACAAAACATTCCTAATTATAGCAATGCCATTCTAATATAATTTTAATTTTGATATATATATATATATATATATATATATATATATATATATATATATATACTATAATTGGATAGATTTTTCAAAATATAATATCCTAATAAGAACTTTTTTTTTTGAAATACAATGCCATAACTTGGTAGATTTATAACAATAATAATAATAAAAATAAAAATAGATATTACAATGCTAATGAATGCAATGATATGCAAATAAATGAAAGTATGTTGTTATTTCTTGAAACAGTCAACTTGGCTAATATGTTAGTCTTGAAACGTAAGTTAAATATTTCAATTGTCTTTCAACAATGAAAAGTAATAGATGAATCTTGTGCACTAATAGATAAATAAGTGAATTTGGACTCCTTACCCAAAAGGTAAATGTTGCATTTATTTTAGGATAACATAAAGGGGTAAATGCAAGAAATAGCAATGTACTTCCATTGATATGTTAATTATAGCATCCCATTCTCATATTTTTTTTCTATTACAGCAATGTACTTTGAAAGTTCTACCCAACTACAACAATGTCGTTAAGATACAAAACAATTTTCCCTGCTATAATTGGAAAAATATTTTAAAGTAAAATGTCCTAATAAGATAAAAAAAATCGAAGTATAATGCTATTACAGGGTAGAATTTTCGTAGTACAATGTCTCAATAAGAAAAAAAAATCAAAAGCACAATGCTAGAAAAAGATTATAATCATATGATATAATACACAAATAAATGAAGGCACGTTGCTATTTCTTGTAAAAAAAAAAAAAAAAAAGTAAAGAAGTGCATTTACCTGAGATCTAAAACGCCTGCGCTCTTCATTTCTACCATGACTTGTTAAATAACCATTTTCACGACCACTAATATCAAGAAGCCATCGATCATCATCGAGTCCAGCTGTGAAAAATATTGCTGGAAAACCACTGTCCCTTCTAGAACCACGTCTCGCTGACGTGTCACCAAATAGCCTTCCACTGTTCCTTCTTCCTTCTCGGCTACTAATTTCAGAAACACCACTGGAAAGAACATTTCCGGTGTCCATAAGAAGTATACGACCACTTATCACATCTGGTTCCACAACAGACGGTAAAACTCCGGAACCGGAATCCGTAATTCCACTCCCAAATATCCGAAGACTCAGAAAAGAATCTGACAGAACCAACAGCGCCCGAGTATTGGAATCGGAATTCCTAACTATATCGTTCTGATTCCGGCCGGAATCAGAATCAAGATTTTCTTCGGTGGAGACGGTGATCGGATTAACATTCATGGGTGCACCTTCGTCGATAGGTAAAGCTGATTCCGATTCCGACCCATGATTTCCTGAAACTGGTTCTTGACTTGGTTGACCAGCATAAGATGTACTTGCTTTATCCTCGCTGCTATTTATGGGACTTATAGCAATGTTCTTTGCACTGCTATTGCAACTTTCGGGTTCTGATTCCGAAGTTTTGGAACTTGTGCACACGGGTTCGGAATCAAAGAATGAAGAGGAGACACCTGCAGAGGTTATAGATTCGATGCTAGCAGGAGGAAGGTTTTCTATAGAGCTTGTTGGTGATTCCAACTGCAAGTGGTGGAATGGAATACAATGTCAAAAGTAATCAAACATTCAGACAGAAGATTAGTCAAACTATTCCATTAATGTATACAAAAGATTAGTCAAAGTATTCCATCAAGTGTGTGTTTGTTACATGGGACATGACTGGACTGTATTGGGCTATTTTCCATAATGAGAGGATGAAAAGGGCATTCAAAGAATTGCAATTTTTGTCCAAATAACATTAGTTTCAGACTTTCAGTCCCAGTCCAATACATGTTTTGTCCTGTGTAACAAACGGGGCCCAAGGGATCTTACCACAACTGCTTTTGGCAAAAAGAAGTTAGAAGCATACCCTTATGCTGCTGAAGTGGGTGATAATGAAATGACACATTTGGCGTTTAACTGACACCTCAAATTAAAGATGTGGTAGCAGAATATGAAGACAGAAGATATATCAGCATGTGAAATGATGCTGGCAACCTTATTTTGACTCGGGTGGCAATCTAACAGAACAATCACACAACACAAGACAAGAAGAGATTAAAACTAAAACTAAGAATAATTATTTTCATTGTTGCTAGTCTGATCATTATAATTCAGGTCCTATATCTTTTAATACTAGTTCACTGCTTGCATGCTTCTGATTAGTTTGACCTCAACACTCACATAATCATTATCACTTTTACCAAATCTGCTGTTGTTGAGAATCATAATTGGCCGAAAGCACCGCTTAGAACCAGTGATGGAGACAATTGATTATCGAGAAAAGTATCGCAATCAAAATAATATAAACCCCAAAACGAGGCTGAAAGACGATCAAAACGACCATCAATTGAACACACAACATCAAATTATAAACGATCATCCAAGGATTTGATAAACCATATACCACAGAATTATTAGGGTTCTGGATGAGTAACAGTGAACATGACGACGACGATGATCAATTACAGAAAAGAGTATAAAAAGTCTGGTTGTTATATAAATAACATACCTCTAAGGCAGACGAAGGAGAATTGGAGTTGCGTGTGTGACCACATAGTAGAATAGAAGAGAGCTTCCGCTTTGTTCGATTCAATCTCGAGGGGTTTGAAGAGCGATCCGACCCTAATCGACTACTGCCGGAACCCATTCCAGGTGTAAATTGAAAACAGAGATTTGAATTGGAGTCTGGGGACGAAGATGGTGATGATAATGGAGCAAGTGAAAAAGAGATTACGACGAGGACAAAAAGTCGTCTGGTGGAAAATGAAGACAAGAGATGAGTTTCGTATGATGGTGGTAACAAGAATATTTTGGTGCCTTTCACTTCCACCCAATGTTTTAAAAACCGGTTTTTTTAGTCGAACTAGTATGGTGAACGGTTTCGGTTCAATCGGTTTGACCGCCGGGTCAACCGGTTTCTATAGTTTTAATGTTTTTTCCTACGCATACATACATATATAAATCATAAATTTGATGTTTACAAATTCAAATATTAAAAATACACATAAAAATAAGTTGTAGATGAATCCAAATACATTAAAATAACACATAGTCATATGTTTTAGTGTTTTACATTAATCTATATACCTCAAAAATAAAATAAAGTATAATACCTTAACAAAATATAGTTTTAAATGAATACAAACACATTAAAAAAAATTATAACATTACCATATGTTTTTATTTAGAGAGAACTAAATAGATATGAAAAAAAATCACCAAAGTTTATTATGTAAATGATTCTTTTTTATGTATTTTTATTCGGTTTAACCGGTTCAACCGGTTTATTTTGACCGGTTCAACCGGTTTTTTCTAAAAACCGGCCGGTTCAAACCGGTTTTTAAAACATTGTTTCCACCCATGTGGTTGTGAAATGTAACATTACAGTAAAAAACAAAGAGAATAAAATTCGGAGCAAATTTGCTTTTTCACTTTTCGTATGCAGAGGGTAAAGTTTGAGCGTATTTATGGATAGTAGCTCGTAGTTGTTATGATAGTGTTTTGTTTATGTAAGATAGTTTTAAATTTGGAATGATTTGTTTAAACTAAATGTTAAAAGTTTATAGTGTTAAACAATATTTTTATTCAAAACGGAACGTTTTGTCAAAACAAAAAAATAAAAACTCTCAAACGCTTCGTATCAAACACTCACTTTTATCTTTTGCCATGAATGTCCATGAGGCTAGAGGGTGTGGGTATGGTAGCACCCATGGTTTGACACATCATATGAGGGGAACACCGTCCTCTTCTTGTGGTTTCGAATGCAGTTTGGCTACACTCGACTAAATCTTGTCGTACAAATCTTGTCATACACACTCTCTCTTGATTCCTCTTTCTCTCTTTCCCTTTATCCTTTTCTCATTTTTCTTCAACTCATCCACACCTAGTGTGTAGCAATGAACCACATTTTTATGGTAAAAATACCATTGCATAGATGTGATGTCTATATGGCAGAGAAGAGAGTGTGATAAGGATGACACCACACTCACTAACCTGATTCGTAACTATTTAGGTTAAGTGGCTCAGAGCACAATATTTCGTCTTTTTGGTACGTTGATTTCAACAAACTAATTCGACAATGGCTTGTAGAAGAAAGAGTGTATCAAATTCAAAAAACTACACGTTTTTTAAACTATAGAATAAAAAATGTACCACTTTTCAACCAAAATAAATATGATTTAAGATAAATAATTATTTTTTATTATACATATTTGAATATTTTTATTTATTAACTTTTAAAAATTAATGTAAAACTTTTTAACTACTTAGACAATATTTCTTATTTACTTTTTATATTAAACAAATAATATATTATAAATTTAAAATATACATATATTTAATTAGTAATCATCAACTACAACCGCTATACTTATTATACTTTTTCAACCTCAACTTTTAATAAACAAAATACGTTTCTTGTATCATACGGTTCAAAATAATGAAAATGTTTTATATCAATATTTTGATTTAGTGTATAAATTTTGTTATTTCACATGTTAATAACAAATGACTTAGATATTATTGACAAAATATATTTATTATTACTTTAGCTATATAAATTTATTGTTGCACAAAGTATTAAGATTTACATAATTATTATATAAAGAATAAATAATATTATACGATAAATATTCTAAGTCAACACAACATTTTTAACACACTAAAATTATTTTATAAAATAAAGATAAAATTGGAAGAATGGTCCATGTGGTATGTCAAAACTTGTATGTTTAGGCCAAAAAAGTTTGGACTAACACCAGCTGTCCAAAAGTTTCATTTTGTTGCGAGTTTTGTTCAATTTGGTTTGAATTTTTTTTATAAAGACGATTTTGCACTTATTATTTAATTTTTCATATTTGTTTTATTACCGGCAATAAAAAGACAATTAAAAATAAAACAAAAATAAATACCCTCTCTCTCTCTCAAACTATATGAAGAACGAGAACTCAATAACTCGGATCACACTTTTTTTTCTCTTTTTAGTAACAAGAACTTAATATTCAAAACTCAAGAAACCTTCAGGCCATTTTCAAGACCTATAAATGTATCCGATGTGTATTTATGTGATGTTAAAAATTGATTTGTGTTCATCCCCAAACCCGGGATTTGAAAATTGATCCCCATAAATGGGTTTGTTGTTAGTCTTGAAACAAAAACCATGAGGATGAAGGGTGTCACACCCCCAAACCGGAACGGCAGAAACGTTCGGGGGTGGAGGACATCATGTCAAGTATCACAACACATGCATTATAATAATCAAAGTACAACAACCATTGCATTAATAATGTATAAGTTTTTACATAAGTGTTTAAACGTTACATATTCAGACATCAAAAGTAGATATAGTAAAAGACAAAAGACGCAGCACGATACTAGGCTGTCTTCTCAAAAGCTCTGACAGTATACATGTCTACTGGATTCCGGAGAATACAAGTTATTTTGAAAGAGAGGATCAGCATTTAAGTTGGTGAGTTCATAAGTATTGGTTATGGTTGCTTTAGTTTTAAGAAAGTGATTGATTAAGTTCCAGAAAATCCTATATTTTTTGCTTTACAACTGAAAAGTAGTTTTAATCCCATAAAACCGTTCTGTTTAAGTATTATTGTACTTATTGTAACACACATAAAATTCGAGCAAATTTAAAACTTTTTAAATCATTTGAAATCATTCAATTTATTACAATTTGTTTTCAAAATAGTTTATACATCAAAGTTCCCAGAAATCATAATCGTCAATCGAGGAAGTGTACGGTCACGCCTTCGCCTACCCGCGGCCATCCGCTGAACCTGAAACAATAAACTGAAACTGTAAGCCCGAAAGCTTAGTGAGTTACCCCCAAATACCAACCTCATACAACCATAATCATACCATATCAACAAATACATAACAGCATGCATAATTAGCCATCAGCCTGACTGGACCGCCTCGTAGGCCTTCAGTCTATCTGGACCGCCTCGCAGGCCTTCAGTCTATCTTGACCGCTCTCCGAGCCTTCGGCTTGACTGAATCCCTTTGTAGGGCCTTCAGTTTATCTGGACCGTCCTGGGTATGTTGGCCTACAGCACAAGGCAGGACCGCCTCAACCCAACCCCCAACCAAACAAACATGTGCATATAAATATCATACGCTAGCTCATTTCATATAACAGTCAAACCGATCTAACAGATCACCAATCATAGCAACATCCCAATAACCGTGATACAGACCTAACCGGTCACTAACATAGCATCATCCTATAACCAGGACAATCATGTGCACATAGATATCATATAACACTAGCATGTATATATATAACAGTCAAACTGATCTAACATATCACAAAGCATATCAACAATCCTATAACCAGGATATCGACCTAACAGGTCACTAACATAGCATCATCCTATATACCAGGATACCGACCCAACCGGGTCACTAAAGCATAGCATATCACCATCCTAACTACCAGGATGTAAATCAGTAAGCATATCATGCAATAATCCAAATACAAACCATAAAGGGCCGACATTGGTGCCTTGGACCCTGTTGATATAGTGAGGATAACTCACCTTGCAATGTCGGACCGAACCATGAAAGCACGCTCCCGAAACACTGCCCCAAACTCCAACACCTATAACCATCAATGATCCAATCATAAATACCCGCTTACCAATTATCCTCAAAAGTCAAAACGGTCAACCCCTTGGTCAAAGTCAAAGTCAACTATCAAGGTCAACAGTCCATGTTGACCTCAACTCGCCGAGTATCCTCAGCTACTCGCCGAGTTCCTTACATAACTTGCCAACTCGCCGAGTCACCATGACACTCGCCGAGTCCAAGGCAATCTTCATCGGACTCGCCGAGTTGTTCATCCAACCCGTCGAGTTCATGACCATCTTCATATGACTCGCCGAGTCTACCATGCGACTCGTCGAGTCCCTTCAGTCCTTCATCCATACAGATGCTTTTTAAGCCATGCTAAGACTCCATACTACAGATCCAACTTCCCAAGGCATGCTTATCACGTAAAGTTGCAAACTTTACGTGCATGCAAGGCTCTAATGACTCATAATGCCAAATCGAAGCTTGAAATGGGGTTTTACACTTAAGGAGGGGTTCATACTTGCCAAAGTTGATAGCTTTATGGACTTACGAATCAAAGAGAGTTCAGATCTGAAGTTACAACTTCAGATCTGAGCTCATACCCAAGAATAGCTTCATAACCAAGCCAAGAAGCCCTAAACTTCATCCAAAGAGATCTAGAAAGGAATGAGGCCAAGATCATGAATTGATACCTCAATTGAAGCTAACTGAGATAGACTTTAGACCCACAAACATTCTTGCCTCCAACTTCTTGATCTTCAATCTTCTTGCATCAAGGTCTTCTTTCCAAGCTTGAAATTACACTAATATGGAGCACACACATGAATTAGGGTTTCTGGACTCTCAAGAGGCTGCCAAGGAACTAAGGGAGGCTAATGATCCCTTAAATAGGGTGCCAAACCCCGAAAATTAGGGTTTCACCCTCCAGCTCCAACTCGTCGAGCCACTCTTCCGAGTCGGCGAGTTTGGTCACTTAAACACGTGACCCAAACCCGCTGCTACTCGACGAGTTAGGCAACCAACTCGTCGAGTAGATCTTGAATTCATGAGAATTTATAACCATAAATTGGTATTCAAGAATCGGGGCGTTACACTTATAATAAAGTATAACATAATTTTAACTATCCATAAAATTATAAGAAGAATGTTTTCCGTTTTGTTTGTGAAAAGTAGTTTTAATCCCATAAAACTGTGTT